GTTATTATGCATACTGTTGCTGATGCCAAGATTTTGTAGAAGCACTTGATGATGCAGGTATTTTAGAAGATGACGATGTTATGTATTATTTTCCTTGCAGGAAAATAATTATTCAGATCGTTGATGAATATTGAAACAAAATTAGTATTCTTCAATTAGAGTATTTGGTAAAATGATGACTTTCCGCTATTTTCTTGCCATGCTTAAAATGCAATCTTGAATAGCACTTTCTGGATCAGTTCCAATTACAGTACATTGCAAAATCATAGTTTTTCGTTATTTTCCTGCCACTAGGAAGATATCCGCAGCAGTTTTCGATCAGACTACGTGGCAAAATTATAATTTTTCGTTATTTCTTTTCCATGCGCATGATGCAAGTGTAATATCGTTTTCACAGTAATTTTAGTCCACAGAGGAATCCAGTACTATAAAAGCTTTTTATTACAAGGTTCTAAAGAATAGTACAGCAATAATTAATTACTCACAAGAATCTAGTCTAAAGTAATCTGAGCTCAATTAGATATCAAATCTTTTTTCCTCCTTTACGCTCAGATTTGTACACCTTATATACTTTTCTCTGAATCTATTTAAGGCAATAACATCGTCTACAATCAGACATGAATCATCACTACATTTTACAGTATTAATCAAACTGCTTACAATATTATTACTTTACCATTAATGTCCAACACCGTAAGGTATTGGGCATCTTTACAATCTTAGTATTTCAAGTCGTATAACGTCCTGTACCATAATTAGTTAACAGCTATATTAGTGAATAACACTTTCTAATATAGTAGTTACCAGTCACCTAAATCTAGCAGCACAAGAATATCTATTTTTAGAAACTTAACTATTCTAAATATAGTACACAACACAATCAAATATAGCTATCGCTACAAGCAATATAGGGTGCATCACTACAGCAAGCATGATTTGCAAGATATTCGTAAATGAGTTACACGAATCTAAAATCATAAAATCGAACCTAATTTTATATTGC